TTATTTATTATAATTTATTTTTGTTGAACTTCTCATTTTGTTCATGCATTGTTTTCCTGAGTTCACTAAGTTGTCTGTGGTCTGTTGAATCTTACTGCACCACCTTAAAATAATTACTTTTACATCTTGTCCAGGTGACTCACAGATTTCTATTTCTTTGGAGTCTGGTACTGGAGCACTATTGAGTTTCTTGGGTCATATCATGTTTTCATTTTCCTGTTTCTAGTGGCTTTACAGTGATGTCTGTGCATTTTAAGGAGCAGTTAGCTCTTCTGGTTTTTTTAGACTGACTCTGGTTGGGAAAGACTTTTTCCTGAAGGTGGCTGTGAGGGCTTTGGCTGGGTGACTGCAGCATCTCTGATTCCAGGGAGGGCACAGCAGCATAGTTTCTGTACATCTCCATCAACTGAGGTCAGCATTGGCAAAGACTGCATGGTTTTGCTGGCCAAGGCTGGATGTTCTGCAAGTAGCAGTAGTGTCTAGGGCTCTTGGGCATCCTCAGTGGCAGAGGATGCTGGGATTTTCCTGTTCTCCTCTTTTGCCTGTGAAAGGAAGTTCCAGACAGAGGTATCCCTCTTGGCTGCTGCTCTGGTGCACTGGCACTCAGGGCAGCAGTAAAGCTGGGTCCTGGGACCAGGTACATGTGGAATTACCACAGTGCCTGGGCCCTGGGGCACAGGTGCACTTGCTGCAATGGTGATGCTAGTGTCTTAATATGCGGGCACGTGCATATCCCTGGGTCTTGCCGGAGTGTTTGGATCCTGGCGGCAGCGGGGAGGGTGATGCAGCAGTGGCATTGGCCATGGGATGACAAGGTGCAGCAGTGGCTAGGGCACAGCAGCAGCAGCCAGGGCACAGGAGTAGCAGGCCCTGGGCATGGTGGGTCAAAGTCCTAACTCTGGCCCCAGGGGGCAGAGCAGCAGTAACTCAGGCTCTATGACTCAGGACCCAATGGATGGGACACACAGCTGCAACGGTACTGCCCAGCGACAGCAAGTCAGCGCCGTGACTTAGGACTCACAGGGTGGGTCAGAGAGCGGCAGCTGCAGCAGCACAGCCCAGTGGTGGTGGATCAAAGCTGCAACTTAGAATCCCAGAGGCCAGGCCCAGAGAGTGGGCACAGCATCCGTCAGGGCCCTGGGGGCAGGCCTCACAGTAGCAGCAGGCCCCAGGTCCCATGAGGAGACCCCGAGGTGGAGGGGACGCAGCAGTGGAGGAGACACAGCATGGAGATTTCCTGCAGCTCCATTCACTGGGGTCGGTGTGGTGAAGACTGTGGGGTCCTAAGTAGCAAAGGCTGCAAGTGACCATGGCAATGATGAGACTTTTCTGAGACTCTCCTGCTCTTCTTTTCCCTTGGGGTAAAATGCACCTGAAGGACTCCCTCTTTGCACTGAGCTGCTGTGAACTAGAGGGTGAAAATGCAGGTAAAACGCTCCCCACACTCCTCTGTGGCCGTGCTTGTATTTTGAGCTCCACAGGGTTCTGCTGCTTTGTTGCAGCTCAGAGCTTTCCTGGAACTGTTTTTGCATCTTTGTAGTGGTTTGTTTATTTTTTGTGGGGAGATGAGCTCTGGGACCTTCTGGCCTGCCATCTTGCCGATGTCAGTCCCTACACTACAATTTTTGTTTTATTTCCAGTTTGAGAAAGCAGAAAAGAATCAAGAAAGGGTAGTAGTGAGAGTATAATGTAAATCTGAACTGGGTGGAGGACAGGTTTCATCTAAAGTTTAAACTTTATTAATTAGGCTATGGCATAAATAACCCACATACACATAATCATAGTCAACTTGGAACAACAGGATTTATTTTGTAGAATATTTATCTTCTTTTGCTTAAGATAAATATTAATCTTTTGCTTTGTAATAGTAATTTGCATTCTTTAAAATGTACAATTTATGATGACCCACAAAAACAAAAGTAAACCAATTTGGAATTTAAATGTTTTCTCTAGCTTATCCATATTAAAATAAGCAAAAAAAAAACCCTCATTTTAAAAGTGCACAATTATGATATAATTTCCCCACCAGTGCCTTTGCAGTACATAGCATCTATATCTGCTTATCAGATATATTGAGGTTTTGGTAACAAGTCATAATTTGGGGCTGAATGAATAAATGAATGTCCAAAATTGGGAGCCGGCTTGATCCCCAATGTAAAAAAACAGAAAGGCCTAGGAACTTTAATTGGCCCTTTAAAACAACCTAAACACTATCTCTGCTGGCAACTGAGAGATGCTGAAATGTCTGAGTGATCCAGCAAAGTCACACAGGGGCAGCTGGCAGTTGAGTACAGAGTGTTGTTAAATCAGTAATAAATCTTGAGCAGCATGTAGGAAGATGCTGGTTTAGTGGAGAAGTCTGGTTGTGTTATTGATTAGTTTATACCATCCGATGGTGGGGCGTGGTCCTGGTTCTGGTCAAGGTCTAGAGCGTGTCTGTGAAGACACAGAACTGGGCATAATTCAGGGGACCTGAGAGCAGACAGTGAGTGGGATACAAAGTGTTTCGTGAGAACGTGGCCTCTGGAAGCCCTCACACCGAGCGGTGTTTAAATTTAGTTTCAGCATTCGCAATACAAATAAAGAGAAATGCACAGTTGACACAAAGATGAGTTGTCTCCATCCATCTTCCTTTAAAGCTGCTTACTCTGGAAAAGACGCCAAACGTGCGGTGTTCCCACAGCCGCCCCCCACAGGCGGCATGCGCCCTTTGTGCGCCTTTGTGCGCCCTTTGTCCGTCAGAGGGGAAGCGCAGTGGCTCAAGGTGCAGGGGCGGCGCTGGTTTGCTGAAACTGCTCTTCACTAACTGCACGTGCACGTCTGTTCCCTCTTTATTTTAGCATTAGAATAGGAAGACCTTATTCCATAAACTTACTACAGAAATCTGGGTCAGTTCTAAAATTTGATTGTCCTTGTGCTCGCTTCGGCAGCACATATACTAAAATTTGATTGTCCTCGTTAAACTTGGCTACTTGAGGATCTGTTACTAAATAACCCTGTAATCATTTAACTGTTTGCAAAGGTAAATTGATATTTTAAAAGTGACCATCTCAGTGCTAGAGAGAAAGAACCATTTCATATTGCGCACCCTGGAAAAATTAAACTCTGGAAATTCTTACATGGGTTCAGCCAAGACTCCTGAGCAGAGCTTCCTTTTCAAGCAGGGCTCACTTCAGCCATTTACCTGGAAGACAAATCCAGCTCTCCTCCCAGATCCATGTACCTCCATGTAGACCGTGCCTGTGTTTTAAACATTATGTGATGTTAAAGGTCGTCACTGTGGTGGTAAAATTTAAAATGTCAAGGTCAAGACACAAAGTACTCCTCTGGCAGAAGCCTCTCCAAGGCAGCGTTGGTGGCAGGGCCATTTCAGGGCCCGAGGCGGCCCTGCCCACAGTTGTGGGAAGACACTGCGTCCACTGCTGCGAGTTATTTGTGGCTCCCTGAGGAGCCCGGTCCACACTCTCCTCTGGGCACGAGCTCGGGAGGCAGGGCTGGGATTTTCTAGTTCCTGTTAGACTGTCTGCTTCAGTCCAGAGCACAGAAAGGCTGACATGGGGAGCGGGCTCACAGGGAGAGCCTGAGGAGTAGTGAACTTTGGAAAGTGCCACTGTTTTCTCCTCCCTGACGTGTCCTGGAGTGAAGCGCACAGCGGCCTGGCCGCCGGTGGGATTTCAGCCAGGGCTCCCAGGCCCGACAGCCTGTGAATCCCGTGCACGCAGGGCGTTGGCAGGGGCCGCTTTGGGAGTTAACTGAGTTTTATGATTAACTGGATGTTATTAGGGGGAAAAACATTTTTGATACGCCTCATGTTGGTAGAAGTTTTTTAAAGTTTGGGGCTCACTTTCCTTTTTTTCAGTGAATTAAAAATGTATTTCAATTTTTGGGGGGTTTTGGGGGGGTTAGAATTGAACTCTATGGTACGTCCATAGCATTATCTTAATCAGAAAAGCTTATTCCATATTTCCTGTAACATGGCTGTTTAAGGTAAATTTATTGGACTGAAAGTTACAGACTCTTGAATAACCCAAGTTATTAGCTTAAAGGAAAAAAAAATCCCTGATACAAGATTTTGTCATTTTTTCCATTTTTCTGAAAACTATAGAAACATTTCATCTAATTGAGGGTTATAAATCCTCCAAATGTGACTTCATAGTTTAAATAATGAAAATGGTGGTGGTGAGAGGAGTAATTTGATTCTGGAGTCGTGGACATTAGTTCTGCTCCGAGCTGGGTCTCATTACGAGACTCGGGACCAGGCGCAGGGCTCCATGCGGCCCGGCTCTCCCCGCCCTGACCCGCAGCATGCGTCTCCTGGGGTGAAAAATCACACAGTTTTCCTTTTTTACTGGAATGTATTATACAATTGTAATTAGTATCTACTTTCCCATTTTCTTTCATGGGACTATTTTAATCCCACCAGGGGTTCCCACACATGCATCTGTACGTACGTGTATGTATATAAAGTTCTGCGAGATTTGTGTTTTCTCTCATGTCTCTAAGGTGCAGAACTCCTCGGAGACCACCATATTTTAGGGGAGGGGAAGCCTCTGTTAATGTCTGTTCCCAGAGCTTTTCTCTGGGACTGTAACTTAGGCCTGGGAAGGCTATAATGAGTCAGTAATTTATAGACTATTAAGATACTTAGTTAGAAGTGATTCTTGAGCATGTCCAATAGAGAACACATGTGTGTAAAGGACAAACAGATTCAACACAACATGTCTTTGGCCTAACCAAGCCCAGTCAATTAACAAACCGGGATGTCTCATTTTGCATATCTCCCACTCCCCCAAAATAGAATCACTAACCACTTGTTAACCACATTGCCTTTTTCATAGACGCGGTGGTTGCTGTAGCTTTGTCACCAGACATGTTCGGATGCAGCGCCCTGTTACATTGTAGCCAGCAGTCTACAGAACAGGAAGAGCTCTCCTTGCTTTTGGCCTGCTTTTCTGGTTCGACTTGTGATAATTCATTGCAGGTTTCTCTTTCTCCAACAGAGTGCCTACCGCCGGACTGGAATGGCTTTTCTGGCCTGCTGATGGGACCGTGACTGCGGCAACGGAAAGGCGGGGTTGGAGTAGGTGATTGCTGCGCCCCTCTTTGGACAAAGTAAAACACAAGCTTGCTTACCTTCCCTGTGTCCTCAGGAGCCGGTTGGTTTGTTGTGACTCTCAACAGGCCGGCTCCAGCTCCTCTCCAGCCCCCTCAACACTTAGTCCTGTTTACTGGATGGGCCGCTTAGCTAATTAATGGCAGGATGTTTGGGATAGTGTGTAGGTGGACAAGAATGCAGATCACACAGTTTTGAAATTTTAATTTGGAATGATTTACTGCCCTCAGCTCACATATCTTAAAAGCAGTGTCTTTTTTTTCAGTGTTTAGTCTATGTTTTACATGATGCGTTTTGTAATCCAAGTTTGGGACAAAGGAAACAAAATTAAAAGGACAGTCAGCTTTCTCCTCACACTGTCCCACTAACTTTACTTGTCAACATTTGTTGACCACATCTACATGTATTTAGAAACGAACACCTACTTTATAAACTCACACTGATCAAAAACTAGCCGACCTGATGAACTGTCCCCATCTTCTTTTCCCCGCACCCACATACAGGATGTGTGTCCTTTCCACGCCTCCCGCCCAGCTTCCTGCACGCCCGCCTGCTGCGCGTGCCCTTCCTCCTCCAGACCCTCTTCCCCTCTTCACTCCTCTCCTCTCCCTGCCCTCCAGGCCACAGGCTGAGCCCTCACACACTGCGCCCGTTTAGAAGCACAGTGCTCAGAGCCCATAAGAGGGGAGCGGAGGAGCGCTTCCTCTCGGCCTCCCTTCCTCCCTCCAGTGGCTGCCTCCTGCGCTGGGACTGCAGCTGGGGGGGGGGGGGTTCTGGCTGGTAGCCCCCAGCTGCCCTTCTGGCATCTACACTTTCTCCAGTGAGTGAGGAACTGTAACCCTTGGGAACAAATCAAAATATAGCAGATGTAATTGTGCAGTTCCTGATTAAACTTGAATTGCAAAAAAGAAAAAAAAAAGGAAGTTATTCTTTTAATTTTGTAGGCGTTTGGTGTAATTTTACTTTTATCATGGTTTTTACTCACACCAAAACAGCCTTTGTAAAGAATTAATAGAAACAGAAATGAGAAGCATGCGGGATTTTCGTCTGCTGCCCAAATCATTGTGAAGCTTAGTCGCTGTGATTGTGCCCTGTCACTCACATTTGTTAACCATCATTTACCTGTTCTGTTACTGCTTCTGGAAAAAATCTTTATGTCAAGCACAAAAAATGCAGATATATAATATCAAAAAATTGCCAAAGGGTTTTGATGTTCCATCTGTGCTTGTTGAAATGTATGATTAAACTTTTCTTTTTATCATCATTCTTATTTTTCTTGGCGTCCCTAATCATGGAAAATTATAAGCTTGCAGTAAACATCCCAACTTTTAAAAGGACAGCATTTACTGTATTTGGTTTCGATCGGCCAGCCTTATTGATGTATAAAATTTTCAGGGGCTATTTTTTCACATCGAAATTCCTTCTCTCCCACATTATATATTTTAAAGTATGCAGAAGGCAGAAAATAGAGGATTTAGGTTGTTTTCCCTTTACTTCATTCTACCTGATCTCCTTATAGTCCCAGAGAAGGAAGACTCAACGTACATTTCTCTCAGAAATATGACAGGTCTGTGTTTTTGTTGGTCTGGCGTATGTTTGTCTATCTTGAACAGTCTGACAGGTAATTATTTATAAAATCTGGTTTTACCCAGTAAGTCCATATAATAACCTTTCATTTTTCATCATAAGCCAATGAGCTGAATTTAGAATAAAACAAGGTCATTTATGTCTCCTGAACCACCAGCCTAGATGTCCCCATAATTGCTCAGTATTAATATTTTTAATTCCTTTTTCTTTTCTACTCTTAGGTTTTTTTCTCTTACTCTTTCCACAATGCTAAATTGGAAGTGAAATAAAATTTCCTTAAGCAGTGAATACAGAAAAAAAAGAAGGAAAGTTTCAGAAAATGTGACTTCAATAAATTTCTCTCTGAAGATTGAAGTGTTATGTAGAATCATAAAATGTTAGTGCAGAAGATGGTCTTAAAGACCATTGAAAACACCCACTCATTTACAGATAAAAGCACATGGCCTATATCGGGAAACTGACTTTCCCAAGGTCACTCACTCATGGCTGTGACAGACCGGAGACCAGATCCTGGGTCCCCAGTCCTCGGCCCGGTTGTATGTGTCATGCTGGGTTTGCGTGAGACACTGCCAGGACACGCCAGGCGCTATGGTAGCAACCAATGATAGCAACTATGCACAGAGCCTAAAGCACATGTTACATTAAATTTTTCTTCAAAGGGACTGATGGTAATTAAATAATCTTCTGTTATATGTCAACTATATATACAAATTTTTCTAGAAGAGGCCTGCAGGGAGGGGAGAGGGAATAACACACCTGGAGCACCTACTCTGTGTCAAGAATCTCCTTCTGCTGTTCCGTTTATCTTCACAGTGACTTTATGGGGTAGATGCTGTTAAAAACACAAAATGGTGCTCAGCTCTAAAAATATGAATACACAATATAGTTTCTGTTTTTGTAGGCTTGTGTTTTGGAAATCGAATTGGAAAATAAATAAAATCGACAAGTAAATAAACAGCTTCTCTCGTGGGAAATTGACACTGCCTCACAGATCTGAGAGGAGAGGAAACAGAACTACTCCTCCCCTCCCCTAAATTTGGAAACTCGACCTTCTGCACACGCCGTTCAGAGGCTCTGCTGCTGACCCGCCTGCCTTTACATGTTGCAATAGTTGAGATTCAAAAATAACGTTCCGGTTTTAGAACCAAGAGTTTTTATTTGAAGCACAAATATTTTTTAAATGGTGTATATAATTTCTCTATCTGGGGAAAATTCTTTACTTATTACTGTTTGTTCTTTGTTTCTGTAAAATAATAAACAATCTGTATTTAATGCTTTCACCATGTGGACGACAAATAAGCACAACTGGTGGTTCTTGGTCTGTAAGAAAATACATTTACTTGTCTAGAAATTATAAAGTTTAATTTTATGAAAAAGAATTTATATAGTTCCCAAATCAGATATTTATTTCCAGTTCATGTAACCCCTTGTGTAAAACTGAATCACTACAGGGAAAGTATTCCCTCATCTGCCCTCCTGGAATTTAGATAGAACCTTCCCAGGTTGCATTTAAAATTTTACCATCAACCATGTACACATCTCATAAAATACTTTACAGTTTCCTGTATGCTCTGGCTGAACATTTCATAGTACATAAACACTTCTGCAAATAATATAAGGGCATCAAGTGGAATATGTCCTAGCAAGGGCCCCCACAGAACGCCGACTGTCCGGCAATTTACTCTCTTATTTCTGCCTTCTTTGAAAGCCAAGAGGACCCTGGGTGTTCCTCTTGTGCCGCCGCCGGGAGAGGGGCACTGGCCGGACTGGTGGAGCCGTGAGTGAAGGCTCTCTCTCCGCCGAGGGCGTGGAGCCAAGCTCGAACACAAAGCCAGGCCTGCAGGGATTGGATGCGAATGTGATGGTTAAATAAGGGCCAGATGCCTTTAAACACTCAAATATTAAAAAGTCATATCTCTTAAAGCAAGTCTGTAATGTTGTGAGTAGGATAGTGATACCATAGAACTTAAAAAAAAAGGAACAAAGAAAGGCTTGCATTTGTTTTGGGGAAACAAAATAGCAAATATTCAAGCTGTCGTAAGTCATGGGAATCTTGGCAATTGAAGCAGATTTTAAAACAATTCCTACCAAGTCACAGAAACCCACATACAGTATTATATTGTTGGAAACCATGGTGATTCTGTTTATAGCAGTATATTCATATTCCCCTTTCTGCTCATCACTACCCATTAGTCACTGTTCTCATTTTTTTCAAAGGAAAATAAAAATAGACAAAGATATAGGAAAAATAAAGACTCAAGATGATTACCTACATAATTTTACTTATACCAAGTAGCACTTTACTTGTTAAAAATGATGGCGTACCGTCAGCACTTTAATAATAAGCTCAACATCATCATTCCAGCAGCCGCATGCCGCCCTGTGTGCTAGGCACCCTGGGTAGGTTGTCTCATTCCCCGGGGGGGCGGCATCCGTGCCCAGACCCGCGACTCCAGAGCCCATGCCCTGGTCCACTGTTCCTCGGTGCGGAGCCTCAGAGCTTCCACTTCTCGGGGAAGCATTTCTAGGAACGTGTTGATGTTAAAGAGAATTGCTCCGCTGAAGCCCTTCTCAGTACCAAAACACTTGATTACAAGAAAATTTCATCTTAACCTCACATTCCTCCTCTAAGACCAAGTATTGTGTATATGATGGAATATCATATCATGTATAATAGAATATAATTATATAGAACGATGCCAAGTCCTCTATAATGTCTTAAACCTTAAGATAAATAAATGTGATCAATGCACATACTAAGAATCATTATATAAATTATGAGAAAAACTTTCTCAAAGATCATGTGTACAAACCTCTCCTTTGTGAAGACAAGATTTCTCTGGAAAGCTCTAATTAGGCTACTATTTTATACTTTCATGCAAGGTGTTTATCTCATATTATAAAATAACCCCCATCCTGATTATATGTGTGTTTGCTGTGGCAGCTACAGAAATGCATAAGGCAAGTCTCGGAGCTCCACACAGATGCCCCTTCTAGGTGTGCGCGACCTCGTCCTCATTTCTCCAAGCCCAGGGCGTTAGTGTGTGTGCCTGAGGGGAGTGGAGAACAGCGGTGAAGATGGCTGCTGAGCATATGTGCATCAGCAGTGATCATTCCTCCTTCCTTTTTAATCCAACCCTAGGTCCGTCCTGCCTTGGGACAGGTCACTTTCTGATTCACGTTCTTTAAGACGTCGCTAGCAGTGCCCCAGCCTGCGGTGCTGCACGTGTTTCTGATGGCTGCCAATCGACTCCTTCCAACCACTTCCTTGGGAGACGTTAGCGCACCTACCAGGGCACTGGCCACTTCTCGTGACTCCCCCCAACCTCCGAGTGCCAGTCAATCAAGCAGACCCAAAGCAGCAGTGGCACCTCATAGGTTGGGTCTGTGTGAAGGCACGAGCCCAGATGGCTGTGGGCGGTTTATCACTGCACAGCAGCATGAGCAAGAGCAGTGCAGAGTTGACAGCCCGTGTTCCTGGTCCTACAGGAGGACACCGAACCGGAGGGGCAGGTGACAGAAGGCACGAGCCGTGGAGGCTCCAGCTCCGAACTACAAACAAGCAGCGCCTTAGCTCGCCTCCACCCCAAAGGAGGTGGAGACGGAAAGTTCCGTGCTTCACCCAAACTGGGAGGCAGATGGCAAACGACTTTGCAGCAGCTCCTCCCAAGACTGGCTGTCAGGCCACATCCCTGGGGTGATCACAGACAGCCGTGCAGCCTGGCCTCCGTGGCCTCTTTGGCCTCTGTGGAGACAGGCAAAGTCACTGGGGTACTTCTCCCCAAACATGTGGGGTCATGTGCTTCTGTTAACAGCATAAAAAATGAATCTGCTGCCACTTTCCCAGGTTCCCCTGGTGGCCGCCCTCCCTAGCTCCTCCCCGCTAACCTTCCTGCCTGCCTCAGTGCAGAGCACCTTCTGCTTCCCCTGAACACTTTATGTCCCTGTTGGTCTCCATCTTTCCTATCGAATGTCCTTAATCAGCTCTCCATGTGCCTTGTAGCCTGCACCAGGTTAAGAATCTCTTGAGGGTAAGTCTTAGATGTATACATCTTTGCAACACGGACACACTAGGAATTCAATAAGCATCTGCTAGTTGGTTAATAGAAAAATTCATTTAAACAGAAACACAGAGTTTTTGCTCTGTGTTTGTTGTTGAATCTCTGTAATCTCTTACTGATGCTTGTTTCACTTATTTGGTTGCAAATCTCATAAACTGCAGATGATCACAATTTTTCTTAAAAACAGATAGTGTCTCAGACAGACCAATTCAGAGCTCCCTACGCGTCAGGTTTCTGTGGCCCTTCTGAGTTGGTCACCGTGGCTTTGGCCTTGTAGGAGGGGGTTAGAGAGAGCTGCCCAGTCTCATTTGTCCTGCTACAAACCTCAGAAACCGTGTCCCACCTGAGTCTGTACAAACTTAAAAAGCTACAGACTCACTCCCTACTTTTATATATAGTTCAGTCTGATAACCCGCTGCGCGTCTCCCATTGTTGACTGGAAAGACAATGAACCACTTCAGGATGAAATTTTCTTAAAGGGATTGGAAATAACATGTCCACCAGTGTGAACAAACGTTTATTTAGACTGGAAATGAAGATTTTTGTGAACTGGAAGCAACAGTCTATCACCTAAGAATAAGATGCAATTAAAATGTCTACTTTCTTATCTCTTTAT